AATGACATAGATGATAATTAAAACGCGATGCGACTAATGCCGGGTTAAAGATAATGATGTGGTAATGCCAATGAGCACGCGTAAAATTATCGGTTATTCATTTGGATACCAATTACCACTATTTGTAATTATGTCATAACAATGTGTTACCGCGCGTTCACGCAATCGGCAAGAAAAACTTCTGCCTAATTAATGAAATCAGCAATCAAAATTCACCGATTCCGTGAATTTGGTAACCAAGTTGCTGATTTTACGTTTTCGGTAACAACGTCGGTGATTTCATGAAATCGGCGATTTCATAAATTCGACGTGACATATTCATTAAAAAAAAAAAAAAAAAAACACTTGAAGATACTTTTGTAATTTATTTAGTTAATTACATTACAATTTATAATAGATTTTGAAGAATACTTACAAATATAGCAAATAAAACCCGGCTCAATTCATAAAACTGTTACCAACTTTCAGGATCATTACATTTTTCACGGGAATATAATATAAATCCTAATTTACCAAAGCTCTAATAATATATCATAAAAAAATCTATAATTTATTTTACACATTATGTATAAAAAAAATTCTTTCTCATTTTTATATCATCGACATTATACGTAGATGTTAATTTAATATATATACATATTATTTTTATTGAAAAAAATATTACTTTATATTCTCTAACAACATGTTATAAATAATTTCGTTACATAAATCAATTTTTATGATTCACTTAATCATTTTATACTAATGTTGAAGTAAAATAGTGTATTCGTTTATTTAAACTCCAAATTTCGTAATTTATTTTGTTATTTAAAATTAATATTTTTTTATCAGTGAAATAATTATAGTTCTACATTTTAATAGATTTAATTCCAGTTAATTAAAATCATTCGCAAAAAGATCAATTTGTACATTTTTTAACATTTACGATAGTACTAATAAGATAACGAGGTTGTATCCATTTAAAAATTGAGATGATGATGAGGGTTGAAACCACTCTATTTTTTATGAATTAAATGTATATGTTGTATATTTTCTGGGAATAGGATGATTATAAAATTATATTAACTTCGTTATTTAGCTGTCAATCAACAGATACTAATCTTTAATGGATAGCACGCTATTTTTCATATAAAATTTAATATTATAAATTGTAATGTTACTGAAAAATATGAAATCATTTAAAACCAATAAGTTTTCTCATTTTAAAGTTTACCAGCAAAATATTATATTGCAATACTACACTATTAGATATGATTTATTGAGCAAATTTCTTTGCAACTCCAGTGTAGGTGATAAATATTTTTTTCTCGATAATATGTGTACTATTATAAAAATTATTAATAACATATAACTTTGTTTTTAGTAAAAGTTATAATTATCTTGCCCCAAAAAAAAACAAAATTTCAAATTTTACATTTTTTTATTATTATTATTATTTTGTACTAATCCTCTAAAACATTATTATAATAAATTTAAAATTATTTTTACTAATATTTTTTTTATTTTTTTTTTGCATTGAGAAATTCATTTTATTACTAGAATTACATTTCTATTAAGGCTCTAAAGTCATATTATTGTAAATAAAACCATTTTTACTATTATTTCATCAAATAACCTGTGCACTTAAAAATTTCGAATATATAATAAAAATGCTTAGTTTATACTATTAAAATAGAATTAAAAATAATCAATTATCATAATGTATATTCCAATCATCTGATTGATCGTTGCATAAACTTTCGTTACTCGAACTTGATAATTCAAACGCTACACGTCTTTTTAAAATCATTGATAATTCGTTTGAAACTTCTTGCTTTTTTGGCGCAAATCGAACGGTCTTTTTTAAACACACACCTATTATAATTATCGATTATCGATCAAATAATATCACATATTTAGTATGACTTGGCTAACCTTTAATTATTTCACTCATTAGTTCTTTGTGCAAATTTGTTGATGGTCGGTTAACAATAAACGCAGTCTTCAAAATTTGATCCAATGTCATTGTTGTAGACGGTTTATCTCGACTAATAGACATTAAAACAATATAATTATATTTTTAAATATTTAAACAAATGCATATACATTTATAATTTATAACACAACGTTAAAAAAATAAATAAAAGATCAATTAAAAATAATTATAATGACAGTCGTCAATATTCATTGAAATATCTATGTCTAGCTACGCGTATTTTTGGCCAGTTACACTACTGATGTATTTATATTTTGACTTCTTAGCATATTATTTCAGAATAAAACATAAATTTAAAAAAAAAATAAAAAAGTGAAACAAATACATAGTTATAAAAAAGTGTTAAATACACTTATTGTTTTCTTTAAAATATCATGATACAAATCACGAATTTCCATTACAATTTTATATATTTTAAGTATAAGTAATGTTTAGCCACGTGTAATGTTCCAGATTACGTAGTATATAATATATTAGTGTAAAATACGAGATGTTGTATATGACAACTTGTAAACCTGGTTCTATTGTTTAAAATAACAGAACAGCTAAAAGATTAAAAGTCCTACCTACATGTGTTATAACAACCTTTTTTAGAGCTATAAGTTATGAGCCCTGATTATTAATATAATATTATTAACCTTTCCGGAAAATCTCTACATACTCGTTCCTACTTTTTTTTTTGTTTTACTTTTTTGTTTATACTTTGTTAGTAATGCAGTCCTCTATGACATTTTATTCCTGTACACCGCTTTGTACAACTTAAACAAATAATTATAATAGATTTACAAAAAACTAAACTATCCCTTCGGCCGAATAATTAAACATGACAGTTGTTTAAAATTCAAATTAATTTAATTTTATGTTTATTGTCAAAAGCAAACAAAGACGTAGATGGAGCAAAAAATTATAATTATTTCAAATGAACCGAAAAATAAAACGATCAGTTGATATTTATTATGATATGAATACATTGCATACGCAGAAATTAAATACCAATAGTAAAAAAATAAGGCTAATTATTATTTACCATGAAATGTTTTTTGAAATGTTTGAACAATATTATTTATGATCTTTTACAGAAATAATTTTATCAATGGTTAATCTTACAATAGTTATTTTAATAATAATGATTGTTGTTTTAAATTGTATAGGTACCTATTTTTTTTTTCTGTTATTGTTAAATGTTTTATTTAATTTCTTATTTTATTAGAATATTTATTCTACTAAAAATACATGAATAATATTAATATTACATTTAATATATAAACAATTATTTTAGGATCAGTAGTATTATACATCATTATCATGCATTTTAATAAAGGTTTGTAACGCTATAATAATTAAAAATGTAAAAATAAACGTTTTCTTTTTAAAAAAGAAATATTAATAAAACAAAACAAAATGTAACTAAAAAAAAAAAAAACTAACTAACTGTAATATTACAGAAAATTATGCTTTAAAAACGAGTCGAGTGAATAATATAATCATCGTTATCGGAGTTCGTCTAACGAATTACTTTTTTGGAGGAATTATAATATAATACTGATGAATCATTGTACACTTTTCCACATTTTTTAAGATATATTTTATGAGTAATAAGTAAAGCTTGGATTTTATAGCAAATGCTTTTTTTGAAAGATAATTATTATATATAAATACGTTTTAAATCGTTCTGATTTCAATGAAGTAAACTTTTTTTTTGCTTTATTCTACAAAACCTGTTTTTTGTTGCTTTTTTCCCTGTTTGCTTTTTTTTTTTCTTAATTTTTACGTATTTTTCTTGAAAATGTTTCTTATTTATAAGTTATAGACTAAAAATACTATTTTATTATTGCTAGAAATTATAAAACCGGTGAAAAAACTAATAATAAACGGATGACTGATATAATAACTATCGTCATTGCGCCGAAATCGTATAGTTTTAAAATTATCTGAATTATATCTGCGTGTTTTTATAGCACATTCTAATATTTTAATTGACCGGTAAATATCAATCAGTGAGATATAGGTGCTCTAAATAATTTAACTATAACCGTCATTAACACCCAATAGGATGAGTTTTAATGAAAGTAACTTGACCGAATGTGTATGGTCGTGTAAATCCCTTTTTTAATATTTAATTTTACGTGCAATTTAAAATCGTTTTTTTAGAATAAAATTTAATAAATGCTTTTTTTAAGGATTTATTTCGCCTAAAAAATCCGAGCCCCAGTAATAGGCAATATTATATTTTCAGATTATCGTGGTGAAAATCGTAATTATCGCGATAGTAAAAAATAAAAAAATAAAAACCTATTGAAATTACAAAAACCAATAAATATCACTCGACTTCCCGGGGTAAGATTCCGTGCTCGTAGTGACATGTAGACTGTAGCACAATGTACACATTGTACACGCTATGCGTGGTCGATGCGCCGCAAGTCGTCCGCGTAGACGGACAAACGGACGCGGCGTCCGCGGTCCGACCGGCGTCGCGCGCGACTGGTGCCCGTCGGTCCAGCTGTAAGTGACGGGCCGAAAGACCGAACGTCGGTCCGAGGTCGACCGCCCGCGTGTGATATCGTCGCCATCGTCACAATAAACGATATCGCTACGACGGTCATCGGTCATAATATCGACATCACACCTATTTTTACAATCATATTGTGCCTACTTTGTAACGTCAATAATCGTCTCACGGACGATATACTTACTTACCGTCCGCGTTGTGCAAGCGACCTCACCAAGTCCGACTCGCGCCACCCCCTCGTCGACCCGTCCTATTTAGTACCCTCTCCTCGACGACCGTAGCCGCCGTTCGACCGGGTGCGGTGCCCGTCTTACTGTTTTGGGACTCGGTCGAGAGTTGACAACGACGACGACAATGGTATGCCGATCTCGTCCGACTTTGCGAAATCGCTGTGCCGGGCCGGCGGGCCGTCTCCGGAGAAGGGTAGGTCGTGGACGGGTGGGGGAGCGGGACCGGGCGACTGCGGACCGGTATAAAAGTTGTGCGTCCGATATCCAAAGTCATCAGTCATCAACAGCTCGTCCAAGTCTCCGACAAACGACAACCGCACCTCAACCAGCTTAATTGTATATCATATACATCACCCAAAACCAATCGCCGCCATCATGCAATTCACAGTGAGGGTCTTACTGCGCCAGCACATTATCATTATCGTTAATTTTTTTTTTTTTTTTTTGTAACTGAATTATTTTAATTTTTTTTTATTTGCCTTTGCCTTTGCCGCCCCCAATCCAGGTGTTGATCGCCTTCGTGCTCGTAGCCGCCGCCGTCGCCTCCCCGATCGCCGACAAGCCGGCCGCCGACAAGTCCGAATCCGTCAAAGACAAACGCGCCATCTACGGTTACGGTGAGTCACAGCTCCGTATCACTCGCATCGCCGTCGTTGTCGTCATTGTCGTTATTATCATTATAACGACAATTACGACGGTGTGACATCGTTTATACGATTTAATACGACGGCGATAGAAGTGTTTCATGTCTCCGCGTCATCGATACGATTATTGTTTTTTTTTTTTATTATTATTTATTTATAACCTCTCGTAAAACCAGACCGACTGCGTTAGTGATCGCAGCGGTTTTTTAAACGTTTTTTTAAACGTATTCTAAACACGACGATCTCCCGTCATCGTTTAACTCATATTTGTGTCACTTGTGTTTCCGATTACCAGCTGTCGCCCCGTCAGTATACCACGCTCCGGCCGTCTACCACGCACCGGCCGTCTACCACGCACCGACCGTCTACCACGCCCCGTCCGTGTACCACGCTCCGGCCGCCGTGTACCACGCACCGGCCGCCGTGTACCACGCACCAGCCGTCTACCACGCACCGGCCGCCGCCACTTCTTACTCCAGCGTCAGCATCTCTCACCCGGCCGTGGTCGCCAGCGCCCCCGTCTACGCCCCGGCCCATCCAGTGTACTACCACCGTCGCTGAACGGACGACATGGTTACGGTAAGTCGAAACGAGACGGTAAAACGACAACCCCCATCATCCGGGTGCCCCGTGTCTTGTTTTTTTTTTTGTACTTTGGTTTCGACTTCCGTTGAACCGTGCTTCCGATAGGTATACCGTTTGCGCGAAACGGTGCCTGACCGCCAATGATAAACACTTCGAGAATTCCGTCTACAGCGGTTTGACACCGACCGAATTTGATGGGCTGATGTCGAGATTCGTAAACGGGATAAGTACCTACGCGATGCGACGCCAAACGCGAAAGGGACGTATGGTATACGGTCGATCGGAAGTCTCGACTAGGTCGCCGGTAACGCGTCGCCGTCGGCGACGATCTAAGTCTCGACGCGCCCAAAAATCGCACGGACACTCGTAAAATACGAGCGAGCTTACGTGCGAAATCGCAAGCCTGCTACTCCGCGTTGGTTCGCGTTCGACTCGATATAATTTTTTTATTTCTTTTCCAGATCCTGAAATTATTGCTGCGCGTGTCAGAGACAGACCAACCGTCCAACTACGCTGCTGCAGTCGACGTGCCCGTCGAAAATTTCGCAATCTTTAATCATGCATAATATTTATACAATTAAATTATTACGGTGTTGAATTCATCCACTAAATAATAAAAATTTATATATATGTACGCACAATACGAGTTTTTTATAATTTTTATTTTATTCCTATCCGAATATACTATATCCCGATTCAAATGTCCGTGTACGATCGTATATCATGTATTTTTGTACCGCTAGTAATATTTAAATTCGATCTGAACAATGAATTTGTAAGTCCAGATTTGTTTCGATTACTCATCACAACGTGTTCGAATGGATGCTAAAAATGATCCTAGTCCCAGTAGATCCGCTTCAACAAATCTTGTGTAGAACTTTAAATGCGGTCAGTCTTCCCTTTAGTTGCTTTTACGACTGTTTAAGTAGTTGTTTTAATAAAAAATCTATTTGTTTTTCAATATAACCTATTACAAATAGAACAATTTAATATAGAAAAACAAATAATTTTCTATTTCTTAAATAGCTGTAAATTAAAAAAAAAAAAAAGTAGATTTTTAGTATTTATGGATAGTATACTTATAGATTATTGTACGAATCTAAAGGTAATGGTTGTTTAAATAAGTGTAATAATTTTGATCATTAATAACTATTTGAGTGTCTAATTTGTGCTAATACATTTTAGGCGAGTAAAAATTATTTTTACCTATATGAGCTTTATAGACTTTGATGAATATATGGTTTTATTTTATTATTTTTTTAACTGTACATTACTATATTACTTTACCATCAAAAATGCATTTTTAGGGAATTTTCGGTTATTTTTTAGAGCATTCTTTTATAATTTTTAGGACTTAAAAAATCTGATTCCTAGTTATGATATATTAATATATACACACCGATTCGTACTGAAAATACGTATTAAAGTACTATCAGGCCGTGTGTATTATTGTTATTATTATTTATTATTAAATACGGTAGTTAATTTAATCTTTATGGTTATTATCGACCTTAAATACGACGCAAATCAGTTCATATATGGAAAAAAATCTCATTTTATCCTTACTATTTCTAATTTATACAATATTTATTTATTTACGAAATATTTAGCTAAATTATAAATTTTGTGTACGGTTTATTGTCTTAATTTAATAAGTTTAAAAAGTACTTAGATATTTCACGAAATAACATAATCATTTAATTATTTAATTGTATCATATATTTAACTATATATAACTAGTTCAAACGTGTTTTTATATTTTTTATGAAAATAAATGGTTAATGTAATAACGGGTTGTGTTAAATGTTCATCTATGCACGAACCTACGCTTTACATGTCTTTGTAGCAATTATATAAATACTGGTAGAAGACTGTTCACTTCTACGTTATTGTTTATTTTTTTCCTGCAAATGAAAGCTTAAACTTGTGCGTACGCTCATGAGCGCATTTCATTTTTGTACAATAATGTATTTTGCAATTATCGATATTGACACTCGACGCAATTAGACCTAAATCAGTAAACAACCACAAAGTGATAATAAGTATTTGTTGGTTTTTTTTCCAACCGCAGGGACAGATTTTTATGCCGCCCTTCTTTATTCCACCCAACATCATATTTAAGTGTTGGTAAATATATTTTAAGCATTTACATTTTATAATATTAATTACTAATAGTTTTATTAATATGAGTATATATAATTAAATTAGTTACCTTTAAAAAATAACAGAAAATTATAACACAATTTAAATGATTAATGATTGTAGTGATCGCAGTACAATACAGTACGATTGTTACTACATTAGTTATTTAAAAACATCGCACGTTCCTGATTTGCTTTAGGTGATTGAAAAATTGGTAGTTAATTAATAAAACACTTCCATTTTTAAATAGGAATAAGTTGCAATAACTTATTAATAATTTTAACAATAAATCAAATAAAACAACTAACTGCTATGTAAAAGTTACTACTGGGAAAGACTAAGCTAGGGTGGCCATATTTAAAAAAAAATAAAAACAGGACAAAATTAATAATTATAATATTTTTAAATTAATATTTATTATAATTTTTTTTTTTTTGTTTTTTAACTGTGAAAAAATATAATTTTTAAATTATTAAAAATCAAAATTTAGACACAAAAACATTATTTTGAAAAACATAAAATAACATGGTTAAATTCAATAAATACTTCTTAAAACTTTTAATCACGTATTTTAGTATTTTACTTACAAAAAAAAAAATGTAAATTTTAGAAACGTACCTAATCATTGAACTCATTATTTATATATTATTAATTAATTGTCAGCTGTTGATTTGAAATGGTATTTCAAGGCGGGTGGTATGTCATGTACGTAATTGAATTTCATTATCGGATATTATATTTTCAATAACGAGAGAGTAGCATATAATCTTATAGTCACTACCTGTAAACCGTTAGTCGATGATTATTGCGAGTGCTAATCGCAAATCTCGTATAGGCAACACGGCCGCCTCGAATATCTATTATGCTTATAAAGTTATAAATTAATGTTGTGTATTGTAATTATATTTTTTTATATATGTAACCTGGCTAATAACAAACAAAAGCTAATAACCACACTTGGTTACGTTTAAGGCGAAACAAATATTTAAAAAATAAACCATTGTATAATTCATATTTCGAAATTATATTTTATTCGAAGTAATGAATTCTTGTATAATCGACGTAAGTAGGTATATAATATTATAATGTTTTTCCAGTAATTTATAACTGGAAATAATATTGTTACGTATTTTCTTTTTAGATCGGAGATATCGTGGATATTAAAATTAAAATAATTAACATGAAAAAATCATATTAGTTTTATTGTTATGTTTAAGTCTGGCTAGTAATATATATTCAATTGTGCAATTAGTAATTACTAGGTTTAGAATGTATAAAAATTATTATCATTTTTATTTATTTTTTTTTTTTTTTAACGAACCCAAGAATAAAACGACTATAGAAAACGATAAATCAATATTAAAAGAAATTGACGATATTAAGGAAAAAAATAATAAAGTAGAACAACAAGGATTACCAAATATAGAAACCGTGGATAAAAGTACAACAAAACTTTGTTAGCCCTTACTAAAGAATGCTCCGAAATGTCCAAACTATATCATGCCATAAAACAAAATAGTTCGAAAAACAAAGAACATTCTAATACAATAAAAAGTTCTAACGAGCCTGGTAATGTTATTAACATAATTAATAGCACAATTGTTAATAACATTAACCCTTTCAGTCCCGATTTTTTTTTTTAGGTAAAACATTTTTTTCTTCATATTTTCATTTCATATACTATATAAATAGGTTACTGTAAAAATTTAAAATTTTTCGCACAACTCCTTCCCAGAAAATTTGCTATGTACATTATAATGTACAATAGTACTTGCTGTCATACAAAATGAAAAAAAATATATAAATAGTTATTAGTTATTACAAATTCCTCTTTATAACAATAAAAATAAAAATAATATTTTATAATAGCCATAAGACATTCGAATTATATACAAATTATGATCATTAAAAATTAAGTAAAGTAAAATAAAATATCAAATATAAGTTATTTATGAAAATCAAAAAAAAAAAACAGATGAACGTCGCATTTTATGCAATAAACTTGTGTTTTTTCTTTGCAACCTTCATTTTTACACCGTGTGGCTTCTTTTCTTCCGTCTAGCTGTGGTAAGTGACCGATATTGTCAAGTTGAATACTTGAAAAAGGACGTGAGTCTATTTTTTTAAACTTTTTCAAGCGGTGAAAATAATTTTTTTTGAAGATTCGGGGGTGTAGGTACTAGACGCGATGGGCGTCCTACTTTTCTCGAAGGTGTAATTACAGCTTTCCTCAATAATATCAACTCTTTGGCCAACCTTATCCTAAATCCAAGTAAATCTAATGTATCTTTCTTTTTTCTTTTTAATTGTTTTGCGTCATTAATGTATTCTAACCACGAGTTACTCGCTGCCATATCAAACGCATGGCTAACCATTCTGAGTGTTCCGTTTTTTCGATTTTATGAAGCATCAACAGAAACTTACGAGCTGATCATATTTATCTACACCTCCCATTGTATTATTATAATGTCCTACTATTTCCGGTCGCTCAATCTAGACATATTTTTTTGTTTATCCTGTCCCATATTTTTATCGTATACACTTTTCCCGAAGCCACAACATTTGAACATAAATTTATGGGTTTATTGTCATACCATTCGACTAGTCCTAGATTTACATCTGGAATGTCCGAACTTATTTCAAATATTGTCCCCCTTCCTAATTTTTTTCATTTCTTTATCCGATAAAAATGGTGGATTTTTGAAACGATTTTTACGTATTGTACCGGTTGCGTAAATGTTTTTTTTTTTGTAAAGTATAAAATAAATTGAATGATGTAAAAAAATTGTCCATTGTAAAATAATGACAATTTGGCTTCAGATTTTCCGTTAAACTTAAAACAACTACACCACCTACACCAAGGGTTTTTTAAATCATCATCGACTTCAATCATATTTCCTTGGTATACGATTAAATTATACACTAAACCACTTTGGCCGCATAATAGATATGTTTTTATTCCCCAAGGTTTTGGTTTACCGCGAATATAGGTATTGCTTTATAGATAAATGTCCTTTGAACGGAATAATCTGTTCATCGACCGATAGATTTCTTTCCATTGGAATTTCTAAGCATCTTTTTTTAATTATTTCAAAAAGAGGGCGAATTTTAAAAAAAATTATCTTTGTTGTTTTTCGGAATCTCCATATTGTCTATAACGTGGAAATGTGTACGAAGACTGAAAAATCGATTTCTTGGCATAGTTTGAGCAACTAAATTTATATAGGTATCTTTTTTTCAATACATGTGTACTCTAGGCATCTTTAAAGCACCATTAATCATATGTATTACTATAAAGTTTCTAACTTCATACGAAGTTGTGGGTTTGAATCATATTGAATTTTGCTGAGTTGCATATAAATTAGTAAAATAGACCATTTTATCAAATTCTATATCACCAAAATATTTTGAAAAGTAATATATAGGATCGTACAAATAGGTTAGCTTTTCGGAATCATTTAAATCATTTAGATTAATCAAAGGCGGGGTAGATGGTTTTTGCTGCTATTTAATTTGATTTTTTTGTAAAGTGAAATATTTCGGATTACTAATAGAATCAACATTACCATTTTAAATTTCAAAAATTATAAATTATAATATTAAGGTAAAAAACGGGATTAATACGGGACAGACTTGAAAATACGGGAAAAAAAGCATCTTGAAAGAAGATTGTCAGGACTACAGGACATAAAGTTAAAATAAAGGACAATCCTATACAAATCAGGACGTATGGTTACTCTAGACCAGGCACTCACGATGATATGGCTGTGACAAAGTTCTCTACGAGCAATAGTTTTACATAAAAAGTGAATAACCAGTCTATCACTGCGACTACCTTCTGACCATAGCTAAGTGCTCTACCCGCATTATCTATCCGGACTATCAGTGATGTACAATGGCGTATTGGTCTAAATACTTCATTATGTTAATCGATAAAAGCAACTTGTTGTTTCCGCCTTTGACCCAAACTTCTCATACTTTAGATAATGTATGTACGACGTGTACTGTTTATTAATAAACATTATAACATTATGTATACATCAAAAAATATACCACTTGTATAATTTATCTTAAATATTACACTTGAAAATTGTTATTTTAGTTTTTAGGATTACTAAACGACACCACGACAGTAATACTTGCGATTTAATATTATTTAGAATTTACCCAGCTGAAAGTCGTTGTATAAAATATTGGTAAAATTAAAATATACATTTACTATATTTTTAATGTTTATATTAAATACACCGAGATACCGCGTATGCTTACATTGTATATTACCAACCTAGCGTGTATTTTTGTAATTAAAGTGCGCATTCGTTAATTTATGATTTCAAAAATATACAGCTGCTATACACTTTCTGTCATCACACAATATTTCGAATGACAATGTTGAAGTAGTATAATAAGTTTTGTCTCATGTTTATTAACTTGTATTGGTATTAAGGGCCTAGGAGGTACCTATTCAAAACGGGGTAACCGATTGCTGCCGAAACAACAATCGATAATGTGATAGCACATAATATGTTGTGAATGATTATTATCGATATGGTGTGCTTCAATAGATTTTCAATTACTCAACATTAATCAAAAATAGTGACTATTAATAGCTAAATAAGAGCAATTATTAACTTATTATTAATCAGACGACGGTATTCATGTTGTGTAACAAGTGTTTCAATCAAAGAATGATTTTGTTATTTATGATAATGCACATTGTCATATGATAATGATGCAAATACGCAGATAAATGTCGCTGTTGTATTGACGATATTTATAGAGGTCACTAGGTTTCTTCTATAATATTATGCTTAGTTAATACTACCTGTCTTTGTAGATACACATTTTAATTTCTCGTTCAGGCTTTGGTTGTCCTATAAATAAAATAACTTAAGACCTATTTAACTATTTGAATTTTTAATGACAATTAATAACTCAGTTTTTAAGATAGGTACATTATTTTTACTAATTTATCTACTATTATCCATTTTATATAGTTTTGGATATTGCAACGTACAATTTTGGGTTACACAAAACTGAATTCTTAATTACGTTATTTATTTCAACTTTCAAGTATATCTAAACCTAAATACATTACAATTCTGGTCTCAAAATTATTGTTTTTAGGTGTAGCATTAGTTTTCTAAATTATAAATAATTAGAAAAAAGATATTTATGGAGAACGAAATATTTATGTAAGTTACATTTACCTATTTTTACAATATGCATAAACATTTATTGAGTTACGTTGTTACGTACTATTTATTTTAGAACATAAATAAATATTTTAATTTCTAAAACCAATAGTAATATTTAAGTACCTATAATTTGTAAGTTTTAAATTGTACGTACGACTTTTATTTTTGTATTAGATTTCGAACTCATTTTCTATATTTGCGATAAATGAATGGTAAAATGTTACCATAGCACAAACACTTTACAAGACGTTTCTTTTATACTTGATAAACATTCTTTGATGATTTTTCTCTAAACGCTTATATACCGTTTTCATATTTTATATCAACTATAGAACAACATTATAGTTCTACTGTATGTCTCTATTCACAATAGCTGTATTTATGATTATTCAATTCACTTCAAATGACAGAATGTAAATTTGTTATATTATTCAACAATATAAAAATTTATACTAGTACGCGTGTTGTAACATCTATCTACCTAGTTAATCGATGCTCTTGGCTCTATAACCTATAGACATATCACGCCTTGCACATATATAAGAATTGGTGTAATTTTTTCACATATTGTATCATGAAATATGCAAATATACGCGTCAGTCATTAATTGACATATCGCTTAAGTGTATATGTATTCGTATTTCTACAAAAATTTTCAAGTTTAAAATTGTAGTTACATTTTTATGAAATTATGGCAAAATTACAGTTGAATTACTAATTACATTTAATTAATTATACGTTTATATAACTCTAAGAAATTGCTTTAGTCATTCATTAATATTTTATGTGTATATGTAGAACTTTTTAGTACCCAGTAACTACTTAGCATTGTACAAAGGTAATTTAGACGCAAAATACTCATAATGTCACAATATATATTGTATGCATTAATCATGTAATAATATTACTAATAACTAATAAAATATGTATGTATATCGTTTTAAAATTTATTGAGTACTTGAGTTAATAAATAGGTAATAAGAGTCTTATTTATGAATGTTTTTTTCCTTTTTGACCATTATTTAAATATTATTAGCTAACGACACAATTTTTAGCATTCACATTTCAGTCGATTATGGGATTAGTCATTTAAGTTGCAATATACGAGCAAATGCAATGCGTTTTTAAAATCCTGAAGAAATTTATGAACAATCTTTGTATGTGTGATTTTATTGTACGTATTAATTGTAAACTGGTATAAGGTGTCTGATTACCTATTAACCTTCAAGGAGCGTATATGACGGATACGCAATTCAATATAAAACATATAAGACGAAGCGTATCATAGTTAGTAAAAAATGAAATAGACTGATTTAAATTTCGTAAAATTATAATAAAAGTGCATCATTATCGTTATGTGTTACTGTTCGTATTTGTATTTAAAATATTTATGATTTAAATATCAAAATTATTGTTTTTGAAACCACTTTTAATTACGATTGATATGGTTCATATCAATATTATGCCATAGTCAAAATATTCATAACACCCGAACTCATACTCATGGAACTACTGTGTGCTGAAATATCATCATGGTAACGATATCGTTTGACCAGTATACTTTGTACTGGTCAACGAAAGAACGATACCAGACGCCTTATTTACACCCGTCGTTCGTCCAACTCAAAATTGTTACTATCATTATATTATTATTGTCACTATCATTACACAACCTGCAATTAATATTAATTATTGTTGAAAACTCCGCATGCGTGTATCGGTCCACCTGCTACAAATACCACGGAGTGTATAATATTAAAGAAATTAAACTTAAAAAAAAAAAAAAAAAACACAATAGCTTTATATTTTCTTATTTGAATAATTTTAAGGACATATTGAATTAAAATACATAATATATAGACAACGTGTGGTCGTATTATATACATAAACAATTAATATACTCATATATAAGTATATATATATAATCAAAATTTAATTAATTTTGTCATCTAATAATAACGCCATGTTACTGTTTTAAATAATATTGTATACGTCACAATATATGGCAGAAAGGGATAGAGAAATCTAGGTTGCCGCAGAGGACACGACACGGACGATTGCGGCGGCGGCGGGACTTCGTTGCCGTATCATAATTTATTTACGATGTCACTGGATTCCGTAGGAAAAAAATAACGTAGTAATTATGGGTTACTGTAGATATTATACATATTATACCGTCGTATAACATCATAGACGCCCCAACCATATCCAATACCATATTCCACGCGATCCTCTAAAAAACACACTACACTTACGCTCGATAGGATCCTTGAAATTATTCTTCGACCGAAGAATCGGTTCATATATATCGCGTCGAACCAACGGCCAGTAGTAGACGGTCGGTCGGTCGGTCGGTAGGTGCTCCAAAAATTTGAACAAGTCATCTGTCTTGTAATACATTGGTTAAATGTTAAAAAAAAATTCACGGTGCACTGCGTATTACCATCGTTCTACTGCAAACATAATTTGACAGCTTCACTAATTATTTCGTTTGGTATGTAATATAATTCAATTATTTCTATACTGGTCATATTATTATTATTATTATACAGATTTTATAACGAAATCAAAATACCATAAAACTATAATTATTATTAATAGTTCAAATTAGATTAGTGACATTTGGTAAGACCATTTGAAAATTTCAGACGACAAGTTTGTCGTAATTTTGTGTAGTCCAGTTGGCCAATTTCACTCTTAATTTCATGATTGGAATAACATCTTTAATCACAAATTATTTATTGTATGCCATCCATAAAAATTTATTTGAGACGTGCGAAACTATGGTAGAATCGACATTAATATTATTATATCGTATTAATTACCATTTTATAATGAACAGCCCTTAAAACATATTTATTAACATGATCCATCTCTCTAGACTGTTACTCTTAATGTAATATTTACTGTATAGATCTGCTATCTGAATATCTGACGTGACAGAAACCTATTATTGACGCGTCACATTTGCAAGTGACTGCGAATTGTATTTGGAGCTATCACCGTATTCAGTGACGACGAAAACGTTATTCTTTTAATATGGGTGCACCAACGACACTTACCGTTATTGGTATCATATTTTTGATGTTTGGCATTTTTGTTGGATGGTTCGCTTTCCCGAAGATGTTACATAAAAAAATTTTAGAGGTAAGAGATTATTATAATAACTACCTACAGTAAATAAAAAATATTTCCATAGGATTTATAAGAATTACATTTTTCAGATAAAACTTGTATTTTTAATTTAATACGTATTTCAAAGTACAATAATGTATTGTTTTGAAAAGTATTGTATAAAAATCAAATATTGAACCAATGGTTTCTTGTTTACAACTCCTAATAGAGTTCTTCAAGCTAAGATTACCCTGGTCTAATATATACCACAATACCTATTACAAGTGATATCCCTATTACCTTATTCCTTTTATCTAAACTTTACGTTTTTAAAAATAAGAAACTATTAAGTATAAGTATGTATATATAATTGCGCCCGTAAAATTATATTTTATTTTAAAATTATTTACAGTTGAATGTATTTAGTCATCTATATTGATTAAAATCTCCACGTTTTTAGTATTTTTAAGAAAAAAAGACAGTTTATTTAGTTATTTATAGCTATAATTTTATTATCGATTCTCTTATATAAATATTTTAAATACGTTTTGAGAGAGCGACGAATATATTTTTTATGTGGATAACTTTTGTTATGAAGAACTAGTACGATCGATGGTTTTTCTAAATTTTTATTTATTCACTCAAGCATTATATTTTCTAGATTCGTCTATTTAGGAAGGGAGGTTATTTACCTTAATCTACTATGCATTTTCGTTCCACACAAAATAAATTAAAAACATATTTATAATTTAAATGAATTCCTCTACTTAGTATATTTTATAAATAGTTACCATATGAATAGCAAATAAATAATTCATTTAGGTAAACTATAACTATTGTGGACTAAATTATCAACTCATTTTGAAACTTCTCAAGGTTGGTTAAAAAAATAAAATATAATGGATAATGATAATATATTGGAACATAACAACCAAAATTAAAAAAACATCTCTTCTAATGTGTTCACAAATTTAGGCTTTATCGAATTTTTAAGCGTGAACAAATATTTTTACTTCAAACCAGCTAAATAGAATACAAAACTGTTCCTGACAGCAATGTGTTAATAAATGATAAAAAAAAAAATCGTTAGTCAACAATAAAATACCACAGTCACTGTCTTTAAATTCATGTAGCTGAAAAATAAATTTTAATATAATAATTATATATAAAAAAATATTATATCCATAAAATATAGATAATAAAATAATGTTACATAAATCGTTATAGAAAATTATTTGGGTTGAAAATTCAAAATATTATAGATTAAAATGTTACGACACACAAAACCATGGTCGGAAAATGAATGAGTCATTAGTACTTAAGAATCGATCAAGATGAATTATAAGGATCAATAGTTTCTGAGAAAAATTATTTTTACTTTTCACATATTATATGAATTATAGTAAATATACACTGACAAAATTATTGTAGGTATATTCTGATTAAATGAGGAGTATAATATTGGCTTTAAATTAAAATTCTATGGCCATTGTTTTTATGGTAAGTTTTTAGGACAAAATAAATGTTATATAGATAACGAATGGAAATAAGTTATACAAAATATCACTGTAATATTACTTTGAAAAATTATTTTTTATTTTTTTAGTAACTAGCTATAGTATGAAAAATAACGGGGAACTGAAAAAAATGTAAACAAACGCGTATTTAAACAAGCTTCAATCACAATAAATTTTTAATTCGATGGTTTTTTGTTGTTTTCAAATAAAATATTAAAAACTATCTCAATATTTTATCAAAATGATCGAGGCCGAATAACAATCTAACATCTTGTCACTGTATAATTCATATGAACAAATAGTTTCTTTAATAATCATTTTCGGTTTAGTGAAATTAAAATTGCTTGTTTTGTTAAATCATATTATTAATGTTATTTATTAATAAATAAAAATCGAATAAAAAATTAATTGATCTTCATTTTCAAAATTAATAATAACAACATAATATTGTAATTACAATCACAATAGTGCCTACATCCATGTTTATATATGTTGTAACTAGGTATATATTATTTTGTTGCGCATTACTATAATAATTACTAACATCATTTTTTATTGCATAATACGAACCTATGTCATTATTGAAATAGAAATAAAATACAATATTTTCATAACTTGTATATGGTAATCATGTGTTATTAGCTTATTGTATTTTATTTTAAGTAAATTACATACAACGTTTATACGAAAGAACCTTTATTATTACCTTGCTTAGTATGAATTTGATTTTTCCTGTTTAAAATTTCTTTTTGATTATTAATCACAATTTAACAGAAAAAAATGAAGACATATGTCAAAAAAAAAAAAATTATCTTTAAATACTTTCAATCATAGTTACAATATACCAAATATACAAAATGTGTGATGTGCATGAAGTCCACTAAGCAATATGTAATTGAAGTTTTTAAATGCCAATGAAGTTAATTTATTATAGTCTTGTCATTACCACAGTTACGTATTTTTGAAGTTCAAGTAATAATTAATTTAAATAATTACTTTTAATCCTTATTATTTTTTTTTTTTTATTACAATTATTATTATATTTCAAATGCATCAACATTAAAGTCATGTCATTAATTTGTAATAACTAATATAAGTAACTCAAATATTTTAATTTACATATTTTAATAAACCATAATGCCACGTAAAATTAACGATTACGTCAATCACATAATATTTATTATGCGTAGTTTATGATATATTATGAGTGTTTACAAGATAATAATATTATACTTATTGCGCATGAAGCACACCTAAACGTACATTAATATATTAAATAGGTCCCCGTTAGATTTTCAGGTTAGGCAACCTGATGTCCGTCTAACTCATCGGTAGCCTATAATAACACCTCTGAATAGACAATACTAAACATTTACATGATCTATTTGTACAACATTATTACTATGTACAAATCCTGGAAAGTAATGTTCAATTTTTAAACTTTGAAAATGTTTTTTTTAGTTTATATTATTTCAATTTATTTGCATTCTGTAATTGTACTAATCATGCTGATCCTCTAATATTTTTTTAATGAATAAAAAGCGTCTCTGCCTTTCTAAAAAATGTGTATAATTACTTTTTATCATATGAATAATATTATTAATTGTATAATTGTATAGGTAAATGAAAAATAGTGTAATGAAATAAATTACTGTTATAATATTCAAATTACATCTAGACATTTCGTCGACTTAATAATAATACTATATCTTATAAAGTTATGGCGTGTAGTCGTCATAAAAGAATTTGAATACTGCGCAAAATATGTTTTTGAAGTACATATGTATGCGTTTTTTTAGTTACTACGAATTCGAATCTTAAAAAACACGAACAGCTGTTTATTTTTTTTACACATTTATATTATTACACCTTACTCCTTATAGAATTCAAGTAGTACATGCTTATGTCTGTTCAAAGTAAACTCATGTGAAGCGTTTCTACAATTTTGGATAGAATTGTTTTTATATGCAATACTATTATTGTTATGGTTACAAAAGAATTCCTTTCTGATAGCATGTATATTTTAACAGAAGTGCTATGTATAGCTGTGGCAAAATATGATATATAATTTTAAATATCGGGTTTTATAAATCAGTAAATAATTATACAAAACATCTTTTCAATAGAAAATTAAAAAATATTAATGGCTCTGAATAAAAATATTTAGTAATCCTCCCTTCTCGTTATCATATACTACGAGGTGAGCTAAAGAAATAAGCAAAGATTTAACATTTTTTTTTTTTTGGAAGATACATTTTTATCCATACAAACATTTATTTGAAAAAAGCTCTTGATATCACTTTTAAGCTAAATCAAACATAATTTAATTTAAAAATACTTAACTATAGAGTATAAGGGACTTTTTGAAAATTAAAATATAGACAATAAAATGTTAATAAAAAATAAAAATAAATTTAAATATCAAATAAAATCATTATTAAATTGGTACCTACGTGCACTCACTTAAGTAAATATTCCATTAAAAAAAAAAAAAAAAAATGTATTATACGTATAATACCTAGTAAATATGTCAAACCAACGATGAAAAAAAATATATTTCTTGATAATTGAATTATATAATTTGTTTAACGGAATAATAGCAATACTATGTACATTTATCGACCGTGATATTAAAAAACAATATGACAAAATCAGCGAATTTTCATTATACATAATAATATATTCCTTAAATTATGACTGAACTCAATTACACTCTTTTTATAAAGCAAACAAAGTTCCAAAATAACAATTAAAAAAGGTAAGTAAGTAACTACCGCTATTTTGTCCATTAGATATCTAGTGTTTTACTATTATAGGTGTATTAAATTTGAATTCAAGGATATGAAAAACGATTCTGAGCAGAAACGATATATCAGCCTAAGTATATTTCATGAAATATTTTTTTGAAATTGCTGAAATAATATATGTATATTGTATATATTAATACTATATTCATTATTATTATTATTATTCTGTATCACTTTACACTACTCGTCATCACTCTAAATAATTAAAACAAATAAACTACAAATATTCAGAATGATATTTTTAAGTCCTAAAAATAATTTGTTTCAGAATATGAAATTAATATAAAAAAAAAAAAAGTGTTAAACTTTTAGAAATAATAAAATGTAGGCACTTAAATGAATCATCTTGAATCATCTAACATCTTGTATATAATACATAATATGTGTTTCTCCTCTTGTTTACAAATCATTTTCTCCGGATAAAAATCATGTCACAAAATATAATATTTTGTACTAAATAGTAGAATATTGTATCCTTTTTTTGTTTCACTTATTTTTTCTTATGATAAATTTATCTGTCAGAGGTACTAACGTGGACGGTTCTGAAAGTCACTGAGAGTATACTTAATGTATGAGTGACTACCTAGTAACAGTATTACCATCATTTTCTGAAACAAATGCGGGAGGCCATTATACAGTCATAGCGCTTCTTTACTCGGGAATTTTCCAAGTAGACACACAATATAGTACCCTTTCAACACTATTTAAAGTCGCTTTTAGTATTTTACAGCGTTATTCGTAATAAAACTAATTTTTCCATCACATAATAATTTTTCCATCTGCCCTTTTTTTTGAGTACTCTTCGTTTTAATTCACAAATCACATTGTTATCTATTAAACATAAATTAACGAACCGTTTAATTGAACAAGTTTAATAAATAGTTCTTTCAGAGTACTGTTTTATGGTAAAAAAAATTATATCATTATTGTAAATTAAAAATAATTGCCAGTTAATTTATTTATTTTTTTTAAGTATCAAACATTTTATTAACTCTTAAAATTTAAAATTTTTTGTTATTCGTTTTTAATGTTACATATTATTAATTGCGTGTAACATAATTAATCTTGTACAAATTTTTACATTATATATAATTTTTTTAATTAAGTATAATTATTAAACGTTCAATTATTTACCACTAACCTAAAGATTTCTTTATTAACTGAATATTACAATTACTTTTCGTATGACCATATGAGTTATAATATTATTATAAATGTAATGAATACCAAAATACTTAAGAAAAACTTACTTTATTTTTTTTTTTTTTTTTTTGATTTTGTAAAACTTAAGTATTATGTTTTAAAAATGTATATTTTATGACCTACATTATAAAAAATATCTCTATTACTTAAAAGTATACAGTACATTTTAATACTGTGTATATTACGTTTTTATTTTTGGGATACTCAACCTTGATCGTTTGTTATCTACATTTAAAAATTAAAGTTCCCTTTAAAAAGTACTTATATATAGAGTAAATAATGTATTATAAACTTATCTTAACTAAAATGTAGAAGAAAGTCAATAATCAATTGTTTTGTTATATAACTTTATTAAATCGTCATTCCTAGTCACATACGTATATATTTAACATAAAATTATTATAAAATGAGATTCATTGTACACCCCAAGCATTTTTTACACCTATCCAATATGATGTATCTTGCAGTTGTTATAAATTACAATACATCTATTAAGTTGTTTCTACTAAAATCAATGACGGTTTTATAATCTTAATTTACCTCAAAATACCGTCAAGGTTCTCTTTGCTAGGAAAATGTATGAAACTTTAATAAACTCAACGGTATTTTTGTTAACACCGTGTATGTATAATCAACAACAATCAAGTTCATAAAAATGAATTGTACTCAGTAGGCTAGATATCCGCCTACTTTGTATTATATTCTTGTGATTTTGCATTCTCGCCGTTAAATTTCTACTAGTTTTTTAAAATAATAATATATTAGTTACAAAAAAATAACCTTTGACTGTGTCGTTGTGTTGTTGACTATTTGTGAACTATGACGAGAGATGGTTTTGATTACCAAGATAGTTGGTATATATTTTTTCTTGCATTGTGTGGATTATTAAAATGCTTGTCGTTTTTTTCACATCCGATACGCTATTTGAATAGTGATATCTTCACAACTTTAGGTTCCGGTACACAAAATTTACGCTCCATGTACATTTATTTCATTTAACATGATTAACTTAGATCTATAAGTCCATTTATCCAATAGAATGATCTAGTTTTGTATTTTATTTGTTACGTCTTCTGACAGACAAGATACTATTGTCGTAATTCATATTTTATACAAGATTGAGGTATACGCTATAAAGAGATGGACATCGCTTTTTTCATCATAAAAAGAAAATAACTATTGAGTGAAAACTATAATATGCAAAAGGATATTTTGAAATAAAAATATTCATGTATAAACTCTCTCGGCCACTTTTTTAGGTCACTTTTTTAATATTTTCTAAGTTTTATGTAATTGATTACTTTTAAACAGAAAAATAAAGTAACTTCTCTTTAAGAATTATGATACAAAATCTTTCATGCAGATCTCTATGTGCATCTCAGGTATACATAATTCATAAATTGGTCGAGGTAAATATTATCACATTCTTTGAATACTTATGTGCAATAAATTAATATTGAATAGTATTTATGTTTGTCTCGTTTTAAACCAACTAATATCAAAAACGGATTTATTTAAAAAAATAATTCCTATTACGACAATGCTTGTAATATTTTAGGTATATTCAAAAATATAAATAAAGATTATTTGACTATTTAATTCATCTTGAATTTATTCATTTAATACTTATTTTTTTATTTTATAGTTATATTGTGATTGCATAAAACTATTAGGGGCAACCAAAATATCATGATTATTTTTTTTAGCACATAATTGTATTATTTATTTATTAAATAATTTACGTCTGCGAAGGGTAATAGTAGGTACAATTAACATAATAACAACATTAAAAAGATTCATACACGAAATCCTTTGTATTAAATGTAATACGTTATTCACTCAAATAAATTAAAAAGTATGTTTTTATTAAGTTTTATTGTACTTATAACATAAATAAAAGAAAAATTATGATTATTTATATATACTGAAGCACAGATACAATATCACGGATAAATGATTTATAAACTTCAATTGACTTTGTTTTTATTAAGCTTTTTTAAAATATTAAATTTACATTTGATTTTCACATTGGCTAATGCAATTCATATATGAATGTGAAACAAATGTGTTGGTTTACATAGTATTTCGTTTAAAAAAAAAAGTTATATCTATACCATAAGAATTTAAATAAAATTTTTTATTCAATAATCAACGTGTTAATTTATCAAATAATATTATATTTAAAATTTTCAAACAATTTAACGAGGCATAAAAATTTGTTTTTTTCAGAGTAAATCATTAAATCCGAGATCAAATATGCGTCAAATGTGGACACATCCTCCAATATCTGCCGATTTTAAGATTTATTTATTCAATGTAACTAATCCTGAAGAAGCCCAAAGAGGTGAAAAAGTCATAATTAAAGAAGTCGGACCTTATGTTTATCAGTAAGTCTACGAATTTATATTTTACATTAATAAAACTAACGAATGCCTTACAAAATATGTGTTGTGATCTAGTGAATGGAAAGAAAAAGAAAATTTAATCGACGATATAGATGAAGACACGGTTGAGTTTAGTTTCAAAAACACTTTTATATTTGACGAAATGTCGACGCTGCCATTAACCGGAGATGAAATTTTAGTTATGCCTCATTTGGCTATGATAGTATGTTCATATTGTTGCATATTAAGTAATATATTCGTAAGATTACCAAATGAAATAAAATATTTTTTTAAATAATAACCAATAATAATTATACTACATACCTATAATTAACGAATTTTATCTTTTTAATGCAATCTAATTGTTCAGTTTTTAAATATATATATACTTATATTATATAGGTACTTAAATTATTCTGTAAACTATGTCTGTATAATAAAAATTAAGCCTAACCTTAATTTTTAAGTTTGTTTACGCGTAAACTTATAAAATTTAATTTAATTTTTAACTTTATATAGGGAATGGTAACAATGACTAAGATGATGAAACCGGCTGCACTCGGTTTGGTAAATAAAGCAATTCCTTTTTTGTATCCTGATCAAACTAGTGCATTTATGACGGGAACCGCTAATGATATCATGTGGAATGGATTGGATATTAATTGCACATCCGGAGAGTTTGCAGCCGTCGCTATTTGTTCGCAGATAAGACAAAATTCGGCAAGCCTACATAAAGTCAACAAGGATCATTTCAAATTTTCATTATTTGGAGTGGTATGATATTAGTTATTTTAATCAAGTTTAATAAATGGAAAATTAATTGCACTTACATCAATGATTTGAAACCTTAAAAATATTATACAATATATATACTAATAAAAGTACCAGTCAACATATTTTTAATTTAAAATTCGAATGAAATAAAATAACTATTTATGTATTTATTATAATATTAATACTAATGTGTCATTCATATAGCATTATTATTAACACATTCGTAAACTGAAAATTATCGAGCAGATCATATACCATAATTTTCACAAAATAGATGATCATTTCATGAAAAAAATGATATTTTTATTAATATGACTGACACAAGTAAAAATAAATAAACTAGAATTATAAGTTATAACAATAAAAAATCCTAGTGTATTACACTTAAACAGAAATATTGTAACAATACAATAGATTTGTACATCGTATATAATTTAAACATGAATTTTTGCCGTATGTATATTTATAGATTAATTCTACTATATCCATACAAGTTTGTGGTAGTACTTAAACTTAATTTTATTTCGCTGTTCTTTATTTTTTTTTTTTTTTTTAGCTTTATTTATCATGTATAACTTTTATCAGTTCGAATTTTGTCTGAATATTATTAATATAAACTTACGTTAAAAAAATAAAACAAAAGATAGTCCAACATAAGGGTAAATACTTAAAATTGTACACTTTGTAATAAAATGTATAATATTATATAATATTTTATAATATTTGTAATACTATTAAAATTTTTAAGTACATAAAAAACAAAAAATGATACATACTCATGAACTTTTCTATAATTGGTTTTGAAATGAATATAGATCAAAACCGTTGTAAATAACACAATATTTTTTAGTTTTGCTATTAAAGTTTTACGAAATTCAGTATTTTTCAAACGGTATTTTTTATCATTACATTAAACATCAAAACAGTTTACCTATATCAACCCTGCGTTAATCTAAATCTAAAAAACAAATTACTAATTTTCAAATCCATATTTTAGTCATAAATCCAGTAGGGCTATTCTCTTTTTAACAAATCGTTTGTTATCCTTTGATATATTATGTGCCAAGTTGTGCACAGAGTTCAAAAAAAAAAAAAAAACAAAAACACGTTACAATCAACACCCAAATAGTTTTGGCCGATGAAGGATTTTATCGGAATGCACTGAATACAGTCGAATATATCTACAAAAATGAATGTAACAGCTATTGGTTTGAACAGCTGTGCGACAGTAACAACTCATATTATGATTAAACTTTGTTGCATTTTATTTTTATCCAGAAAAATGGAACCATCGAGAGCAACCGTTACACCGTGAAACGCGGTTACAAGACGTCACCTTTAGACGTTGGACAAGTGATCCGATTCAACGACAAACACAAAATGGACGTGTGGCCCGGCGACGAGTGCAATCGGATATACGGGACAGACACCACGATATTTCAATCATTCATTACGCAGGAAACCAACTTGGCCAGCTTCAGCGGTGACATTTGCCGGTACAGTGTACTTACGCTAAATATTATACCTTAGTGTATATCATGAATATGTCTTGGATAAAACACTTTAATTTCAAATTTTTATATATTTAGAAAATATTACACTCGAATCAAACATTTAAAAATAAAATTTCCACACACACGCAGTATTATTACTAATTACTTAGTTTTAAAATTAGTTTAAAAATTATTTTTTAAATTATTTCAATTGTGTTTTAGATCATTAACTCCAGACTTTTTACGAGAAACAAAATATAATGGATTAAATGTGTTTGAGTATTCTGCCGTATTAGTAAAGCCGGAGGAAAAATGTTTTTGTTTGAATCCAAAAAAATGTCTGAAACCTGGAGCATTGGATTTGACAAATTGTTCAGGTCAGTTTTTTATATTATATACATATCGTATATTAAAATTATTAAGAAATTTACAAATTAAGACTTCGAAACATTCAAAATGCCTAATTATAGAATTTAAAGATTATAAGATAATAATTAATAATTTAAAAATAAAATTATACATTGCAATGTCATACGATTAATTACTGTATTGTACAGGTGCTCCTATAATTGCAACTTTCCCTCATTTTTATAAATCTGAAGAATATTTGAATAATATTGATGGTTTAAGCCCCGAAGTTGAGAAACATAAGATTCAAATGTACTTTGAACCTGTAAGTAAATTTTATTTACACTATATCCGTGGTACATAATTAAGTTATAAATTTTAACATTATTTATATATATATAATGATATAGTATATCAATACCATTATTAGTACTGATGATATAATATAACATTATATTATTTGATAATATTTTTTTTTTTTACAGATGACTGGTACTCCATTATTGGGTTATAAACGTTTACAATTCAACATTTTTTTGAAGAAAGAATCAAAAATAAGCGTTATGAAAACGCTTAACGAAGATGAAAAACTTATACCATTGTTTTGGGTTGAAGAGGTAAATTAAATTTAGTATCAAAAATGATATAAACACTTGGACTTATTAGAATTACACAACTTAAATTTACTTCAGTAGTTGATAAAACCTAAATTTACAACTTATCCTTATAATACATAATTAATGATTCTGCTCACAGAATACTATATTTTACATTTAATTATGTATTTACAGGGAGTCGCTTTAAACAAGACGTGGACTAATCAAATAAAAAATAAATTATTCTTGCCAATTACTATCATGAAATACGTTAAATACATTTTTGTGGCTTTTGGTATTATTTTCATTATATTAGCAATGGTTATCAACTACAATAGTGTAAAGACGGTGGAAGTCACACCAAAATATTAGAACGCAATGATCTCAAAAAAATAAATAAATAAGAAATACTTTATATTAAGTTAGACTTCACAGAAGTAAATGTGTTTTATTTTTGTACAATATTATGAGTACTGGGGTTCACTTTGTAAATATATTTTTAGTCTTATGATTTTAGAAGATAAACTAATAATGTTCTAATAACTATCAACTATATTTAACTATATATATACATATTTAACTTTTACTATTTATCTTAGAATGTACTTTATAAATTATGCATACTATAATATAAAAGTAACTATACGTGTATTAGAAAAATGTATTAAGTTCTGGGTAAATCTACTTATAATACACACTACTTAACAATAAATTAATTTGTTAGTTAAAAATTGTTTTAGTTTTAAAAGGTTTTTAAAACTTTTTAGTAGATTAGTAAAATGTATATTTAATTAATATCGTTAATATCGTACAAATATTATAATTATAATATAATTTTCTTTGGTCTAAACCAAACATAAACTATCAAAAACTTTATACGTTAAATATCAGTATATGTTTACATCTTCTATAAATAATTATATAATTATATTTAGGAAAGTATAAAAATCTAAAAACCGTAGATATCAATATATTTTATTTTTTGTAACCCAAAATATTTAAATTACATTTCAAAAACATTTATAAAATCATTATAAAATATACATCACAAAAAATAATGAACTAACTATTGGTTTTATTTACAATATTTATGTTATTCATTTTTATTTGTAACCACGTATTAATTATTAAAAACTTTGTTGAGAGTTATGATATTATTAAAAAGTCTTGTAGTATAAATTTTTCATGTATAATTTGAATAATTTGATTTTGTTTTTTGTAATAAATTGAATTCGAATATATTATTGTTGTGATAAGCACTCAAATTTCCTTTGGTCAAATTATCGTAAGAAAAGGTACATGGATACCAATGAATCGGTAGAAACTTAAGGTTTATTTTAATAGCAAGAGTCTTTTGGTCAAACTATTGTAAAGAATAAGGTCTATAGTTATAAACAGATGGATACAAATCTTATATTTTATTATATGTACAACTGTACAACTTGTGGTACTTCAATACACCCCACTAAGAAAACATTATTTCCGAAAATCCCAACTGAACATTGAATAAATAAATAGCATGTTTTATTATGTTATCATTTATTAGTAGGTTGGTAAAAAAAATTATATTATATAAGTTGCTAGTGTACCTTGTATAAAAGTAAATATTAAATTTGTTTCACATTATAAATAATTATATATCTATCATAGTAATATTTATAATAAATAATTTTTTTTTTTTCAATTCTCCTTGTTATAAAAAACAATTTTAATGATAAAAAAAGAAAAATACGATTATTTCAAAAGCAGATAACACAGTGTGTATGTACGAATATATTCAACGCAGAAATATGAGATGAGAAGTTTAAAATCATATTTTGTTCATTTAATAAGGAAGCAACGATGTGCGATTTTTAATAATATTTATTTATTAATTATTTAAGTGAATATAAAAATAACAATAATAATAATAATAATAATAATAATAATAATAATAATTTGTATTACAAAATATTTAGATTCAAGATTATATGCTTACCTATTAAATTTAAATTTATATTTCATTTCATATACTATCTAAAATATTATCAGTTCAAATAACAAAAACAATATTTAACCATGCATAAAATGTTCAAGTGTAATATATTATACTCAATCGATAAATAACCAATTATAACAACATTTTGATGTATTTAAACATTTTAAACTAAAAGGCATTTCTTCCTGTGTTATAATGTTTCCTAAATTTATACTTTTAAAGGGAAAATTACCAGCATAATATTATAACTTCTAGTATTCACTTTATAAATCACTTAACCTAAATAGGTAATAATAAATTATAAAATAGTTAAAAGCGGAATTTAATAATCTAACCGGGTTTACATCTCATTAAGTCTAGTTAATCAAACAGTAAATTCCATACTAATGATTTCTAAAAAAAATGTTTGAATTTCATTTAAAAGGATAAACATTACATTTTAACCAATGGGTTTATATTATGATATAGTCTGGAATACTTCAGTTAATATTATATTAACGTATAAAGTTTAATTCAATAACTGTTGGTTTTATGCTCCAGACGTTGGAAAATTCCTTTAAAATATCATCTATATTGCAAAAGCATAAAATTGAACTTCTTTTGGTGAAACTGACTAGTTTTATTTACATACTATTAATTATGTTTCTCCTTTATATTAAAGCCTTATTAATTAGTATTTTTTAGTATTTCAATATGTTGATATTGTATTTATTAAATTAATTTTTTTTATTATATATGAGAATTTAAAACTATTCAAATTGATAATCTATGATCATATCATTATTAGGTGACTTCAATTCATTGCAAAAATATACATTATTTTTCTTTTTATGTCATATAATAAAAATAATTATCAATTTTTAACTTTTTAAACGTGTATAATACCAATATTATTTAGTGTCTTCTAATATTTTTAAATATAAAACTTCAGTATTCACCAAAACAAATATAATTAATTAAATTAAATAACTTTCAAAAGACATATTTATCATACTTAGTGTAACACCAAAAAACTATAAAATAATGAATGACTTCATCCAAATATATGTAATTGAATTACCAAATAACGGGAAGCGATAAATGTGATATAGATAAAAACTAAATGTTATGCAAATTGTTTTTGTGTGCCGAACAAGAATAACACTAAACAACCTAAATTATTCCAACTCGAGTATATTTAAGAACCTAATAAAACTAATTTTCTCGTAATAATTAAGTATCCAAGGGAAATAAATTGTCTATTATTAACCATTTATTACATCTGTTTAAAACATAGCTTTACTCAACCACAAAAAATAATTAAACATTGTTGTCTATAACACAGAGTTATACAATATGAAAACAAAATATTATAGAACCATTAACTAAAAGAATCTATTTAAATGGACTTCAATAATATCACTTATCTTGTGTTATTATATCTATAAACTGTTTAACTAATTAAGTTTATACCACATGTTTTTAGTATATAGTTAGACATATATAATCCGATTGTTTTATTAGATTTTAAGTCAATTTATGTTCATTTATTTAATAATATAAGAAATTATAAAATTATATAGATAATAGGTAGTTTAATAGAAGTATGAAGATTAAATGTATATAATTGCACACATAATAATCGAATACAAATTTAGCTTATACAAGTTGAAAGAAGTTCAATTTGTACTAATATATTGATAACGAAGAAATTTAAAAATAAAAAATTAATTTTATTCATTAGACTGATCAAATTTTTTCATGAAAATTATTCAATCTATAAATTAAGCATAAAAAATATTATATCTTATAGCTTTTTGACGTATAATAAGAACCATACAGTTCACGTGAGTTAGATTAATAATTAAAATAATTTATTATTTTTTATCAAATTCCAATACTAATCGTTAAGTTATATAATATTATGTTTCTAAACATTGTGATTTATATTTTATTATATTTTATATAGTTATTTTCTTTTAAAAAATACAGGCTTTGATTTATTTTACACTCAAGATATTGGCTTAAATACTATGAAAATATTAAAAATATTAACCGATACCAAAGGTACATTATTTTGTGTATAAAAAAAATAACAATTTTAGTTAAATATCATTTTTTTAAAACAATTTACTGAATTTCAAAAAAGAATAATTTTTAAGTACGTTTGAAATTATTATATCATTTTATCTTATACTGCTAAATTAAATTGTTTAAATGGTTAAAAATAATATCAAACCGAAGAATAAATCCAGCAAGAAATCCAAAAATAAAAAAACAAAGACACACAAAAATGTTATTAAAACAATTGACACTGTCATGCCAATTTCTACTCCTGTAGGTTCAGTTCATTTTGACGAGTTTTTAAAAATATGCAGAGAGCCAAAAATAATTGAAAATATAGCTGAACCTGCTAAAATATCTAATAAAACAAAAAATAATAAAAATAAAAAATCTAAGAAAGCTAAAAAGACTAAAAAAACTGAAAAATCTAAGAAAGCTAAAAAAACTAAAAAAACGGAAAAACCTAAGAAATCTAAAAAAAGGAAGAAGATAGGAATTTCTAAAATTAAAGAAGTCGTAAAACCAGATGATGGTCCTCCGTCACTACAACCAACATTATTTCCGTTGATCAATACATTATTACTTCCTTCCAATAACGATGCTATTGACGAAAATACGTTATTCTCAGTAAGTTATATAAAATACATAAAAATTCATGAAATAAAAATGTTAAATTTTAGGAATTTGTTGTTGGTAAACCTGAAACATTTACTTTAAAACAATCATCAATTCGAAAATTAACAGTAATTGAACAACAGGCAAATAACACTGTTGACGAAATTAATAATTTAGAAGCAAAAATCAAGACTCTAATGGAGGTAAATACTAAATTTAAACAATATTGATTGTAATTACGGACAGGATTTGAAATTAATGTTGATATTTTTCAGAAACCTAAATTAAACGAATCTGAAACTATTGAATTGGAGAATCAACAGTTGCTTGTTATGAAGTTACTGAATGATTTTGAAGACAATTTGGCAAAAATTCGAGATATTTTCAACAATGACAATTTGGAAAACACTAACGAAACTAATACTGACGGTGAAGATACTATATGCCAAATAATCAATAAGACTGAATCGCAACAGATGGTATGTATAAACTAATTCAATTCAATTAAAAAAAAAAAAAATTACTTCTATTCCATTTATTTTTCAATACCTATGCAATTATTACAGAATGTAGAAAAATGGTACGAAATCAATGATCTATCATACCTCTTATCACCGAATGCATCATTTGACAAAGGTGTTACCGTATCAGAAGGCCTATTAGGAATATTTGAAGAATTAAAAAACCAAAAAACATCCCCAAAATCTAATGCAAAACACAATGATGTGTTTAAAAGACTTAAAAATAAATTCAGTATATTATTGCCTCCACCAAATTTGAACGTAAGATTGGATTCAATTTATAAATAATTGACTTTATTTTTACAAAACATTTTATTTCTTTGTAGGGCAGCAAAGAATACTTGATGTGGGTAGATAAAAAACTTTACAGAGATCATCGGGATATGTTAAATGGTACCAAAAATCTGAAGATATTTCAATGTTGGAATGAACTAGAACTTAAGTATAATATTATTAATGCACTCGTGATATCTTTGAAGGATGCTATCAAATCAACATCACCGGTTTGTTTTAACAACTAATTAAATATTTATTATTAATTAAGGTCATCAGTTATTAGTACGTTATGATAGTATCAGATAATGAGTGCAAAAGTATGAGTACATTGTACCATGATTATTAGATAGGTAATTAAATTATAATTTAAACTACCGAGTAAATCAGCATGCTACACAGCTTATTTAATATGCACTTCGTAATTTGCATGTCTTGTTAAATTTTAATTTAATGATAAATCATTGCATTTGAATGATTTTGTAATATGAATTCTTTAAAACTATTCAAATATTTAGAAAATGCCACTGATTATTATACATATAGAGTTATATAATTAAGTTAAAACTATTGACATGTTAATACTAATTGCATATTACAGATATATTTTGACGAAAGCTTAAAAAAAAATGAGGCATATACAGTAATATACAATATGATCAATAAAATAAATTATTTCATACAAATAATTTAAATTAATAAGATAGTAGTTTTATCTAAAACAACCTAGAATTTTTCTATCAACGCGTACCTTTGCTTAAGATTACTCAAGATTTTCTTAATATTTATATTTAATAACAGTTTTACTATGCAAGTAATACCACGAAATCGCAATTTGCGGTTGATCAAAGTATTTTGGTACAATCATTGGATGAACTCAAACGAAAGACACGGGATGCATTTTTACACGCTGGTTTAGAAAAGTATTGGAAAATAAATCCTGAATCTATAAGGCTTGGATCTAGACCATGTTTTGACATTACGATCTGCCAACGAAACACAGTCATAGACAACCCTGTTCCATTAGATAAACGGTCATTTTCCTCTTTTCTACGTAATTCAATCTTAATGAACGACGAAATTTGTAAAGGTACTTTATAAATAAATAATTATACCACTTATAGAAATTACATAGAATAATTCACCAAGTAATCTCATCCCCTTTTTCTCCTTTCAATAATGCAGTTGTTGAACATCTATTTTTGGAATTTTTTTACTTAAAAAGTGTATATTAAAAGTTTTGAAATTTTTTACATTACTTAAGCAGTTTACTGTAGTAATAAATCCTTCATTTTTTCAAATGATAACCCTCGTTTACCATAAATTATTATCAAATGAATATTTTTCAAAATATTTTGACATGTCAAACTTAAAATTCTAACAAAAAGTTTTTAGGTTATTTAACTTTGTTTACTAATTGTTTATAGGTCCATTATAATGAGTTTAAAAGATATTATGAGTGCTTTACTGATTTTAAAATGTTAATAATTAATATCAACATTAATAATTTGAAAAATTGGCTAAGTATAAAAAATACTAGATCCAATATCACAAATATTTTATATTTTTTTAAAACCATTTTAAAGGATTACTATCCTTAATAGATATATAAATTTTAATAATTGAAAAACTACTCGTTTAAATGTTTAGGAAGTTTTCTAAAAAAATATCCTCTAAATACTTTACAATAATAGGGGGGAGGAAGAAGTTCTTATTTGTAACATAGAAGTTTATATTACCACAGAGTCCTCCTTAAAAAGTAAAAAAAATCTGAAGAATATGAAAATAAATTTATAATGATATTTAAATTAATATCAGAATTTGAATAAATTAATTTTATTTTAAAGAAAAAAGGTGAAGTGAGCATACTTAGTATACACTATAAACCCTATAAACGTTATTTATTTAGAGCATACATTTGTAACGTTTTCAAGTACGTATTTATTAATTTTCAACTAAAATATTTTTTGAATTAACTGAATAATTTTAAAATCAATTTAATAATTATAGATTATTATGCTTGTAATCGATCGCATGTTAAAAGCATATAAATTGATTTTATTGTAGCAATTGCGATCTATTACCTAACGCGTAAATATAATTAGTGCATATAAATCTAGGTTTAGCTTATAATTAGTTTAATAAATATATACATTAAACATATTACAATATATTAAAATATTTAAATTGTTTGTACAGACACGATAAAATCATCAAATTCAAAAACCAGTGAAATCGAAGTCGGTAATACCAACTATAACTAATTTATTAACAGATTATGTTTTAATAAATGTATTTTTTTCTTGTATCTTTATTATGAATAAAAAATATTTAAATACTAATTATTAATTTAAGAAAGCTTAAAATTAGCGCTTTCAAGTTAACAGAAGAAAGCATTAGCTGACATACCTACTTTAATAAATTTTAGGACACATAAGTGATATCATTAAAAATCCTTTTCCTTTATAATTCCAGACGAAATAATTTTTACTAACCATTTAATAAGTGTTTTGTATTTTATTTGAATACAATAATAACTCGTTGTATAATTTATGAATTAGTCGTATTTTTTTTGTAATTCTAAAGGGGAAGGGTTTTGAATAATATCACTTGTACGTCGTAAAATATATTATAGCATGTCAGCTAATATTTATAACTTGAAAAGTTAACATCAATCTTTCCTAAATATTCTCAAGAATATAATGGGTATATGTTTATAAATTTCATTTTCAATTATTGATATTCGTAGTGATCGGATTACATTGTAAAAATAAAAATATCCATTTATCAAATGAAGCGAAATTGTTTATGTCTAAGTTTTGTTTGACGGATCATCAAAAAAACATGGCCCAAATTAGATCCAGTCTTATTCTATTTAGGATTTATTTTCCAATAATTCTCTAACCAACGTGTAACAATATATAATAAACCTCGTCTTTCGTTTAAATTATTGTAATGCTTGTAACAACAATTTTTTTAACCACCTAATATAAAATATCGGTATTTAATATATGAATAATTTTCATATTATATTTTATATTAAAATAAAAAATTATTATAAATCGTCAAAACTAGAAGGTAAATACATAAATACATGATTTTATTTTTAAAAATAACTCTTAGATTTTAACTATCCGAAAGCAAACCTGTAGAATGTTTAAAAAAATAAACTCTGCTGAAAATAGATTTTTTTATTAATCATCAATAATAATAATATATTTATTAACGCAATATTATTATCTTTTGTTTGTGATAATTTTTTTTTTTTATATAGAATTATGAAACGATGTTAAGCTTTATAATATATTTAAGTTATGTTAAAAGTTTATCATTTTATTATACGTATAGTAATTTTTTTTCAAACATTTTAAAATTTCGTTACAATTATGAGAGAAACCTATAAGCTTGGTTTACTTATAAAATCTTAAAATTACTCAAATTGATAATATTGATTTTTAATTATTATGAAACCAGAACTTATTTGTTATAATAGCACTATTATTTTATTTATTTTATATTAGTAATATTACAAAATACTTTATCAGCAGTTGGTTTCACAAAATATGAAATCTGTTGATTCTATTCAAAACTAAAATAACAGTAGGTACGTACTACCATGCTAAACCTTAACAAAGCATCACAGAAAAATGTAAAGCTATATGTACTTATGTGTATGTACGATATAGGTATTTAAAAATCAATGACACCTACATCAAATAATTTTGTTTATTATTTCGTATCAGTTTTTCCACTCGACTAAATTGTTCGTATATCCGTTGTCATTTCCATTTCGCATATACGCGATCAAGCATATTTCAATATCGTCGGTGAAACTAAAACATCACAGAATAAAAAATGTTTGAATTTGCTTTGTGATTCTTTGGAGTGACGTAAAATTAAATGATTATATGCCCACTATAATATCTGTGCACATTGGATATAATATTATAAATTACAATACTATATTTTGTCATGTTATTTTATAATCTAGGCTATAAACGATACTGTTTTATTATACGTTAATTATTATTTTACTGATATATCTAAACTTTGACCTCTCGTATTTATGATTATCTTTATTTATGGCTGATAATACCAAGGTATATATTTGAAAATTTACTGATTTGTTGCATGACACATAAGGGTTTTTAAGTTTACCAAACAAAAATTCTTCCAAACATATAAAATATACACAACATAATAAAATTAATGCTTAATGCTCATCAATATAACATCGCTTAACTCAGAATCAGTTACGTTTTCAGTATTTAATTAAAAAGTGTATAATTTAATATAGCTTTGTAATGTTTGAGTTTGAAATACATTATGTTAGTGCAATCAAACAATTTCTATAATCTGTCATCATAATCCATAAGTGTATTCTCATATTTTTATGGCTCGTCTGACATCTATTGTACTTTATATGATATATAAAAGTATTTGAAAGAAATCCAAAGTATGCTGGTTATTATGTTAATATTTTAGAGTGGCGTTATTATTTCATTATACGTATAATCGTCAATAACACGGGAATTAAATTGACAGAGAAAAAAAATTTAAAAGATAGTATTTATATAGAAATAATTACTAAATAAAAACATAATATCTATACTAGTAAATATTAAATAACGTATATCACAAAAAAAAGGTGTAGTCAGTATCTGTGCACGTTTTACAAATATTTCATGAATTTTATTTTTTTTAATTAGATAAAAAACATAAACCACTGTGCCTTGTGGTTTAAAGTTGTTATTGTATTGTTTAGTAAAGATATTATTTACTTACAATTACATTATATTTTATTTATTTTTATCTGAATAATTAAATTAATTTGTAATGTACCGTTTATTATAAAAAATACATTATTTTGTTTATTAAAAATTACTTACCTATACTTATATAGATACTTGACATATTAACCCATTTTATATTTATAAATTAAATTGAACATAGTATAATAAAAATGTTAGGTTATACTGAATTATTTATTTTTTAATTCATACTGTAGCAAAAAAACCCAACATACGTGGTATAATATATATGCACTCAGCATCATTATTAAATAATGTAATTATCCTAACTTAATGATGATTCTATTTTAATGAATTTACCAACCTACATAACATTCTTTTTAATTTGAAATTTGTTTTAAAGATATAAATAAACAATACTATTTATTATGCATATATATACTATATAGTCGTATAATTCACGCATTGTTTCTTACATAGAGTAGAACGGTCTATTGGTTATTGGTTTTCGCAAAAAAAAAATAAAAAATAATATGTGATTTTATTTTATTTTTCTAAAAGTTTCAATCTATGATTGATATTGAATATTTAAACTTAAGCCCAGATAGTACAATTATTGTAATGCATAACTAAATTTCAAATTGACATAAACAAAATATAAACAAATTTTTTTAAGAAAATGCTATTATCTTAAAGTGATTATTTTCACGGTCCATCAATTATCCTTGAATATTTAATTTAATTAAAAATTTAAGATATTAAATGAGTACGCTGCTTATAAATATTTTAAATACTTATTGTTAATTGAAAATAATTAACAATATTATTTCAATATTCTACATCAATAAATTTCTAAATTCCCTTCGAATATAAAATTAAAAACTCAAACTGAATTTAAGTGATAGAATTCAATGAAATAAAAAAACATTTTCCTAATTTTAGTTAAATTGATAACAATGATAACACAGTGCATACGTAGAAATATACTACGAACACGTCCATAATAATTTCTTAAGTCAGTAGAAAATACTATATTAAATGAAAAATTGGACGGCGTGTTGTATAGGCAATATAGATACACTAATATTTAGAAATATTCAATACCTATAATATTATTTTACTACTCATCGCAAAATAAATTTTTCCTTTTGTTTATTTCTATATTAGAAGTTTAAGAATATAGCCATTGCTTTTAAATAATTATAAAAATAAATTAAATTGTAACATTTTGATCAGCAATTTAATAAATTTACGAACCAATGAATAGGTATATTTCGAAATACATATTATGAGGATTCTCGATGATTATTAACAACTTGCTAATTCATTTTGTGCAACGCTATTACATAAACGTATTGGAAAACACTATTATTATTTTTCAAACTATTGTTTTTATTATTATCAATATTATTTTTTTTTTTTATTGGATAGAACTGTCCGTGCGTCGTAACTTTATCGACCAATAATAGTTAAAAAGTATACTTCTAAAAATAATAGAAGTATTTTGTACAATTCTCACCAATTCGATTGATTAAAAAATAATTTTCCATCTTAATATGATGAGTAAATTCTATTGTAAGTATTATCGATTGAATTAATAAATATTTAACGGTCGTAGTTAGTGAGTTAATAAAATCCAAAAGTTTAAAATTACAAATAAAATACATTATAATATGTACAAATTGTACAATCTATGCGAAATGGCACAATAAGCAAAGAGTATTAAGACAGTAGGACAAAATAAATAACACGAGATTAATTGCTCGAGAAGTCACCCAGTAGGCACTTAGCTTAGAGAAAATACTGTAAAAAATAATACGTTTAAAAATTGACATTTTTACTATCACACATTATACGAGTATTACAGCACACACATACGTATATATAATATTATTATTATTATACTATAATATACAGTATACAATATGCATTATTACATAAAACATATTTTCAACTGTGTTTTCATCAAATTCTGTTCGGGAAAAGTGCACGTGTAGCATTTCTAACTCGGTCGGACTAATCGTATTTCACGGGGTCGCGTTACGAACGATTCCATCATAAAACTATTGTTAAACACTCAAATAGTCAGATACAACCCCCCTCCCCCGCCACAGCCGCCGTCGCCCAATTAACAGCGAATACATCGGTTTGGAATATAATATATATATATATATATATATATATATAAATCGTACGAAATTGTTTTCATCGGTGCGCGTTTGTCGTTTTATCGTCTATTCCGTCGGCGGATCTTCACACGACCGTCGCGGTCCGTTTTCCGACGCCAGTCACTGGGGCGGATATCAGCGCTCTGTTTTGCCCACTCAGTCCGCGCGGTACGCCAAGCCAAGCGCCACTGCCGCGACTATACAACAGTACCCCAAAACTTGAAACGTGTATAAAGCTAACAGACGACGACGACGACGGCGGTGACGACGTAATACGCGCGTGATCTTCGAATTCCCATCGACAACCGTACCGCCATATTTGACGGGAAAAAAATAAAAATTGTTTACGACGCGTATTCTTCGGCCGGTCACCGTCGCCGATGGTCGCTACTTTTACATTTCGTCTCGCGTCGTTATCCCAATAATTATATTAATCATAATTGTTATCATCATATTATATACAATATCAATCGTCATAACGATTATTAATTGTTCCGTGTCAATTTCGATTTAAACGTCATTCGTATTTTCGGCAATCGTTCCAATAATCGCGACTTCACTGTCCAACGACGACTATTCGTGAGTACTTTTTATTATTATGTGTAAAATTTTTTCTCATTTTTTTTTATTTTTATTTTTTAACAACAATAAGGTTGATTTAACAATAGTCTGTTTTTGAACTATTGTGTACGAGGAAATTTTTGCTGCACAGTATAGTTTCCCGTTTCCTCCTGTATTTAAGTATAATAATGTGTTATAATTATTATCATCAGTAATAATGTTTCATTATTTTTCTAAGATAATAAAATATTATTTCTATAATGTTAACTTACACAAGGAATTAGGAAATACTAAGTATTATTTAGTAGCTCGTATTTTAAAATAAAATAAAAATAATATGTATAAATTAAGTACGTTTATTCTCATGAATTTTGTTTAAAATTAAAATATGGTTAAGATAAGAAAATTAACGTAAAAATTTTACATTTCAATCTGATACTGTGCCTAAGATATGATTTTTGTATACAAAATTGAACCTGAGATGAGAATCAAATACCAAACAAAATTGTTTTCTATGTTTTGTAATAGAGAAATTACAAATATTATTAAAATTTTCTCTTAATAAATAAATTAATCTAAGTGTTCAATATCTAAAAAATAAATATTATAGATTAATTAAATTATTTTTACGATGAACTTTCACTGCCAACGCTATAATATTGTAACTTTATACTCCGTTTTAATACATCTTTTATAATATGTATAATGTGGATTTAGAGTTAAGTTACTATTATTGTGGTATCAATAAAGATCAAATTTCTATGGGATAACCTCAATGAAAAAGGGTTACAATATTTCGAAATAAAAATAATTGAATGTGATTACAGTATTAAATTTTTTTTTATGCAATACATAAAAAGATATAAAATTTTATTAAAAACTACAATCCATAACTATACTCATTCATTTTATATTTAGTTTATTTATTTTTAATAGCACACTGGATGATACTTTATAAGTGTATTGTGATATATAATCATATAAAGCATGTTCTACCTCGTTGCAGTAATGACATAACACAAAGATAATAACATAATTTGATGAATATTATATCCAAATGACTCATTATGAATGAATATCTAAACATTTTCAAAATTAAAAGAAAATAACATTATTACAAAAATAATATATTTTTATCTAACATATTGTTAGAATTTATGTCATCTTGTCAGATACTAAACATAAATAATGATTTATTGTAACAAAAATATTATTTTTTCGTTCCTGAACATTTTTCTTTATAGATAATTAAAATATTGTTTCAATTAAAATTGAAAAATGTTTAAGTTAATTATATATTCAAAATATACAATAAAATAAACTTACTTTTCACTCTCCATAATTATTATATTAATATGACGTTATAATATAATTTATTATTATTATTATAATTATTTTTTTATTGCCCCAAATTAATGTGACTATACGCATTATCAAATTGATCTTTATTTACAAGAGCTTACAAAATAGAAAGACGTATATGTGCGATTAAGCCATCATATATCTTTTAGCTTTAAAACATATCATAAAACAATTATAATAATTAATAGCCGTTAAAAATATAAATTTAAATTAAATTAATAGATTAAATAGTGACATCATATTAAAAGACCCAAATGTCAAAAATATTACACACACACACACACATACATTATACATATAAAAAGGCAATTTTCAGCCATAGCCTCTCACTTGTGTCACTCTGATCCTTTTGTATAGATGTTAGAAAGCAAGTGTAAAAGACTACGCAAATCTTCTTGACAAAAGGATACTGTAATAAATTTAATTCATTTAAAAATATAAATATATGACTAAGTGTTTAAATAAAAAAGCTAATAATTGTAAATCGGATATTATTGTTTAAATATATAAATCGATCACCTTATTCTATATTCAATACACCAACTTCAAACATCAGTTGAGTAGTTGTCACGAAGATCATAAGATAATATATTAACACATACATTTAAGCACTAAAGTAATTGATTTAGTGATTCATAATCTTTGCCGATTATATCACCCTATTTAAAATCATTACATATAAAAAATTAATTAATAACAATAGTTGAATTATGATTATATAATATTATTTTAATACATTATTAATTGTAAGGTTTCAGTGACACAAGTAAATGTCCAGTAATAGTTCAAAATCATTTTGCTGTAGTGATATTTACTTTCTTGACTCTCTTATTCAAATCATTTACTGATAATAGCTAAATATGCAAGTTAATAATATGTTAAAAACTTAAAAGTACCTCATATATAAATTTTTTTAAATTTAAAATAAATAGATTCAGTTGCATTATAAAACTTAATAACATGGCTTTTATTTTTTTAAATAAGTCTCAAAAACTTAGCCATTAGCTGATAATAAATTATTTCTTTTAGTAATAATTGTATTTAAATAGTAATAGGATATGAATGATTGTTAAGGTTTAGTTTTACAGGTTATATTTTTTTTTATTAACAAACTTTTACTATAATAAAACATAAAAAATATATAAAAATAAAACAAAGTTTAAGAGTTAACTAGTCAATTAACTTCTCTGTAATTTATAACTCGTTATTGACATCACGACTATATAACGTTCATAAATTTTAACAGCCAAAATAATATTGATATGCTAATCAGCTTGTGGATTATTTTGCTTGTATAACGTAATTTATTATTATAATAAAAGGAAAAGTATAAAAAAAGCTTTTTCATTTAAATTACTAGGTAGAATCACTCAATTTAAAAAATAAAAATTTTTAATAGTTATTTAAAATATCTTTTTATTATTATGAAAAATTACAAAATATTTTTTTTCAAACGTTTGAACGTTTTACTTTGGGGAATACAGTTATCCCTAGCTAATTCCAGTTAGATTTTATTATTGTACTCTTATATAACTACAATAAAATAATTACTGGTTAAATCGTTCTTACAATAATTATAATAGTATATCTACGTAACGTTTTTAATCATGAAAACTTTGAACACAATGTAAATTAAAATAAATAATACATATACATATACATATATATAAAAATAATTACACTAAAATGTATTCTTTAAAATATTACATTTAATTAAAAACCATTAATATAAATTCATAGTAATAAAAATTCAAGGGTATAAAAGTGTACTCGCCTAATAACATTTTAAAAGAGTAACTATTTTAATATTAACTAAGATAGTGTGAACGAGTAACAAGATATTTTGTGAAGTAATATGTCATCATTTCGTACGAAAATGAATTGGTCGCAGGTGGATAAAAAAAGTTAAGTCAAAAACACTACTTTCGTAAATTAAAAAAAAAAACCATTTAAGACATACAAAAGCTAAACTATAGTGTTCACTATTATTTTAATCATGCTTTTGAATGATCCTTTAAACGTAGATTTATTTTAAATCGTTAAAGTCAAAATATTTTCGAAATTGTATGATTTATAAATTATTATTTTTGAACTAAGTTAATTTAAACATGTTTTTTTTTTTAACCCACGTCATTATATGTTTTTTATGAATGTTGTATAAAAACAAAAAATTATTATTCCTTGATACTTTTTTCATGACATTTAATAAATCATTAAATTATATAATTACACAAATTTGTCATAACTCATAACCAACAACTTAATTAAATATTTGTTTTTATTTTAATATTTACCTACATCATGTAAGTGGAAATGGAAATACTGTACAGTAGGTGTTGAGTTGGTTGTAGATTGGTGATGAGGTCTTTTATTGAAAACATTTTTGCGTGGGTAAGTTGATATTTTCAAAAGAATTATATGACAGTCTTATTAATTCTTTTGTTTAATAATGTATATTTTTATTGAAATTTTTAATTATAAATTGTGTTTATGATAATATAAAAATAGGATTATCAATATTAACAATTTTTATAATTAATAATTATAAACATCACCTAAGGGTTATAAATTATCTAAGTTATCCAAGGTTATATTATTTAAAAAGTTTTATGAACGTTTCTATTTAATTTTTATACTATTATTAGGAATAATTTTCAATAAGAAATAATTTAAACTATTGACTATTGAAATAAATATTTAAAAATTTAAAAAACACAATAGTGAGATAATTATAATAAAAATAAAACGAAATAATATAATAATCACAAATATAAGTGTTATAATATAATATAGAAATAAAATAAAAATAATTCATTATATTTACAATTTTCTAACATACAATAAAAATAATTAGTAAATATATTGGCCGTCTAATTTTTAATAAAATTAGAAACAAAAAGCGTGTTTTCTATTTTAAACAAAAAATGAGACTTTTTTTTAAAAAATTTTAAAAGAACTATGACTTTTGACCCATATAAGTTTGATGAATAGTCTGATTATACAACTAAACTACGTTAAAATAAATATAACTTAATGTTTTTTTTTAATATTTTTGCGTCGTTTTTTATATTTTTTGTATTACTATGTGTCCGTGTAAGAATAAAATAAAAAAAAAAACAAAATTGATTAATGTATAGCTTAACGTTCTTAACATTAAATCAACTAAACCTACTCAAGTTAATTGTTTTCATATTAAATTGTCTATTCTTAAATATATTTAGGGTAACTTAAAATCTTTCCCAATTTTTTTTTCTTTTGAATCTATAGGTACATTTTTTGAACATTTAAATTTAAAACAATAAACATTAAAAACATGCTCAAAGGTTCATGCGAGGGTTCATCACTTAACAACAAAAGAGGATAAATATTAAAATTCAAAAGTTTTACTCGTAGTGTTTTAATAATAAAATCTGATGCGTTATTTAATAATAAAAAAAAAAAAACTCATATTCCATAAAACCATAATAATAGTAGTCGATCACATTTTAATTTTTGTATAACGATATAAAAAAAATAAATTATTTTATAACTATTTACTACCGACATTGATTCAAAAGAACTATATCATTTAAAATAAAAACAATATTAAAATATCTTAGGCCCATTTACCAATATAGGTACATAATTTAATTCTTCGATGAGGATCCAACATCCAA